CTGTTGGCAGTACTCCAGCAATAACACGGAACCAGACACCAGAAATCGGCATCACACATTCTACCTATGTGGGGAATCGAACCTGGGTCTTCATCGTGACGAGCACCCACTTTGACCGTTAGTCTACCCTACAGCCCCTACAAGGGATGGAAAACACATGATACACTGGCTTTAAGTGACTCGGGGTGGGCAAAATGTCAGTATCGATTATGGTGAGGTGAGGTGAGGTGAAATTGGGTATTACGTCGTGCTTGAGAATTGCGTGCTATAGAGATGCTTCATAGCGTTCGTGTATGTGAGCGCTATGTATCTTAGCGCCTCCAACGTTGCCTTTTTATAAGACTTTTCTTGTTTCAAAGGACACAACGTTTCGTAAAATATATAAGATCAGGAAGCACAAAGCTATATATGTGAGGTGAGGTGAAGTGAAATTGGGTTTATCGTCGTGCTTGAGGATATTTCGCTCATATGACGACGTGCCTGCGTATGAATGTGTATGTGCGGCTGCTTGTACTAGCCCAGACTTAAGCTGGTTTTATAGTGCTAGCCCACTGAGATACCATGCCGCAGTGAAGCATGACTACCCCACTCAGACACATTATACTGACTCCGAGACGACCAGTCCTTGTTGTAATGCCGAGCGCCAGGCAGGGACCAACAAGTACCATATGTTAACGTCTTTTGGTATGACGCGGTCGGGGATCGAACCCGCGATCTTCCGCTCTCCGGGCGGAAGCTCTAACCACTACACCATGAAAGAGGTCGAAATTTTTTAGGACCATCTGTCAGCAATGTTATTGTAATCATAATGGATTATAAAGTCCCATTTCTATTCCTTACTTACGCAACATTGTAAACCAATAGTGAGTGCTTTCCGCAATCTGATTGGTTAATTACCCTTGTCGAACACTGTTCGACATACCTGAAAATGATGGTCTAATAACCGCACATTAATACGTTGGCACTAATACCGTACTACTTTCGCTGCATGAATATGCATAATTGAGGAACATTACCACCTAAAATTCTTTCTCTGGGATTTTGATACAATATTTGAAGACAACAAATTCTTGGAAGAATTATTCAAAGATGATGGTGTATACAATCACATGGCACATTATCATATGTGATCAGATAATAGTAAAGTGATTGAAGAGCCATAAAATAACATCCTTCAATTATGTTTATTTATTCACAAATGAACTACTCTGCAAATTTCAAGCATCCGTGTATTTAATTTGGTTTAAGTTTAAAGATTATTATTCAGCCAAATAATAAGTTACTGATACTTGTTTCTAGATCTTCCAAAATACACCAATCCCAGCACTCCGGACGTTTCCACTTCGAAATTCCAGCGCTAACGCTGACCCGGCTCCATCTTGTACACCGAGCGTCTGTTGCGACCAGAACTGGGATACGACCAGAACTGGGATAACGAATATGGAGAATTATACGTCTTACTGTCAACTATGTATTTAATTAACAAACAATTATTAAGATCAAAATCAGCTGCACAACTCGTGTCCTTTATTTTAACTACTGATCGCTAAAAATGACAATGACAGCGCTCCATAGTCGGAGGTATGACAGCAACTCATTTTCAACTAAGCGCCCGCTATAAGCGCAACAAATCTCGCCGTGTCACCTCACGTCTCGCGAGATCAGTTCGTTGAAGGAGAACTCATTACTCTGCTGCCAATTCTACCCTTTTCAATACAAGAAACATATTTAAACATAATATCTTTATTGTGCATGTACTTTGTGCAATCTATCATCTGTCACAAACCTTGTGTAATGAAAAAAATATCTCTCACAATTTTTTTATCATTTTTTACAACTTGGGTCTGTCTCGCCATACAACGCATCTTATCTGCCTGTATATGGCAGCACTCACTAAAATCATAACCGCACCAACACAAAAACGTAAACAAAAATTCAAAAATCTATTTATCATTCATATTTTAACGGCTACAAACCAGTGTCTCATCAGCATGAAAAAAACATCATGTGTTAAGAAGGGAGTTGTAAAGGTATACTTATTATTCTGTCACACACTTCAGCATATTGTTACAGATAATGTATACCATATATTTACGGTGTTTTTTGACGGTTATTCAAACACGTATATACGCGTGTATATACGTCTTTGGTCTGAACGTTTTTACGTTTCTAAACGTTTTTACGCCGACGTGTCCCACGAGTGTCTAACTTTATGTAATTTCTTTGAACCTAATCACTATTACTGCTTGCCCGATATAAATTTTACTGCACTCGGGCTTCGTATACTGGAAATTATTAGCCTACTGTCAAGTGTACCACTATGACGTCGCCATTAATGAAAATATGATATAATTAGTGCCATGCGTAATGACGCCGAGCCTCTTATAAATTAATGTGTATGCGAAAAGTATGTAACACACACACACACACACACACACACAAACACACACAAACACACACACACACACACACACACACACACACACACACATATGGCTACGTGAACATGCGTATGTGTGTTGCTTCTTGTACCAGTCAATACTAATGCCTATTTTAGTGAAAGCCCACCCAGTAACCCCTAAAAACGAGCGCAAGGCAGGGTAACAACAAGTAACTTATGTCAACGTCATTTGGTATGACGCGGCCCCATACTGAACCCACTACCTCTACTACTATACCACGGATACGGCCTTTCTTTCCAAAAAGGGACGAAAGACGTATGTAGCCATGTGAATAACGTTGTAAAGGAAATCTACATTACATGCATTTCATGTATTAGTCCACACAGCCACCTTAAGTAAATATACACACAGTAATAGAAGTACATGTAATAAAAAAGTAAGCCTTAGCTAAACAAACAATGAATTAGTTCCAAATTACATGTGCAACATGCGAAAAACAGCTGTTAATGTTATTTGTTACAACATTGTAACATATCAAATACACAATGTTTACCCTTGATTATTGTAGAGGTATAGTGCAACGACGTCACAGTGACCTGTATTTACTTTGATGTCATTTAGCCAATCAGCATGCATTTGAAACCACTGGTCGTGTCCTGTCTTTCTTTGTTTTACCTCCCTATTTCAAGAAGAGTGAGCGTGAACGTTTCCTTTCAAACATATTATGTATATCAAAACTCAGTTACGTACATAATTCTATTATCACTTAAAATCACCGAAGATGCTGAGTCAGTACTGTAGCATTACAGTAAGGAAGTATTGTAGCCTTACAATAAGTACTGTAGCATAACAGTTAGTACTGTAGCATAACAGTTAGTACTGTAGCATAACAGTAAGGAAGGACCGTAGCCTTACAATAAGTACTGTAGCATAACAGTTAGTACTGTAGCATACCAGTTAGTACTGTAGCATTACAGTAAGGAAGCATTGTAGCCTTACAATAAGTACTGTAGCATACCAGTTAGTACTGTAGCATAACAGTTAGTACTGTAGCATTACAGTAAGGAAGCATTGTAGCCTTACAATAAGTACTGTAGCATACCAGTTAGTACTGTAGCATATCAGTTAGTACTGTAGCATTACAGTAAGGAAGCATTGTAGCCTTACAATAAGTACTGTAGCATACCAGTTAGTACTGTAGCATACCAGTTAGTACTGTAGCATTACAGTAAGGAAGCATTGTAGACTTACAATAAGTACTGTAGCATACCAGTTAGTACTGTAGCATAACAGTTAGTACTGTAGCATAACAGTTAGTCACGTAGCATAACAGTGAGTACTGTAGCATAACAGTAAGGAAGGGTTGTAGACTTACAATAAGTACTGTAGCATAACAGTTAGTACTGTAGCATATCAGTTAGTACTGTAGCATAACAGTTAGTACTGTAGCATAACAGTAAGTACTAGCATTACAGTAAGGAAGGATTGTAGACTTACAGTAAGGACTGAAGCATTACATTAGGGGTTGTAGCATTACAGTAAGGAAGTACTGTAGCATTACATTAAGGGCTGCACATAGCATTACAGTAAGGAAGCACCGTAGCATTACAGTAAGCACCGTAGCGGCACAGTAAGCACCGTTGCATTACAGTAAGCACCGTAGTGGTACAGGAAGCACCGTAGCATTACAGTAAGCACCGTATCGGTACATTAAGAACTGTAGCAATACAGTAAGCACCGTAGCATTACAGTAAGCACCGTATCGGTACATTAAGCACTGTAGCAATACAGTAAGCACCGTAGCATTACAGTAAGCACTGTAACATTACAGTAAGCACCCTTGATGGTAGTGTAAGCACCGTAGATGGTACAGTAAGCACCGCAGCATTACAGTAAGCACTGTAACATTACAGTAAGCCCCCTTGATGGTAGTGTAAGCACCGTAGATGGTACAGTAAGCACCATTGCGTTACAGTAAGCACCGTAGATGGTACAGTACGCACCGCAGCATTACAGTAAGCACCATAGCGTTACAGTAAGCACCGTAGATGGTACAGTACGCACCGCAGCATTACAGTAAGCACCGTAGCATTACAGTAAGCACCGTAGATGGCACAGTACGCACCGTAGCATTACAGTAAGTACCGTAGCGTTACAGTAATATTATAGTAAGGGCTGGGCGGAGGGCACACAGCTATACAAACTTGTCAAACCCGTGTATATATTTTAGTTTTATTTAGTTAGTATTGTAATACTCTTCCCCGTATCATACTAGTTCGCTTCATGTGTTGATATAGAACAACCCAGTCCCTGAATACAAACGGAAACGGGCGAATGCCAGGAAAAGAATGGGGAGATTGAGGCAAAGGGTATGTTTTTGAACTTTAAGACACTGTCTACGTATATTTATGTTGTGCTAATAACTAATTTTGTGTTCGTATTCGTTCATGCCCTATAAAGTTTACATTTTAAAAGCTTTCCTAGAGAATACATATTTTTCTATATGAAATAAATACAATATATTCAAATTCTTTATCATTGTTGTTTTACTTGCCTTACTTTACATTAAGGTGCGGAATTTTTGTAAAATTCAAGGGATGCCACAAATGGCCCAAGTGCACCTCACAACCGAGGGAACATTGAAGGTTGTTGGTATGCTTTTTTTACATTTCATCTGAAATCATATCCAGATTGTTAATGTCGAATAGCCTGACATGCCGTCTTGGGTGCACACAAATAGAGCTCTCGTCAATGCTGAACTTCTTAATTACTGATATAGTATTTAAAAACAAACTATATGTGCTAATATAAAAAACGTTTCGCTCAATTGAAATAACATTTCGTTCCCATATTGTAATATATATTATATATAAGTAAGTGGACTATCTATTGAAAAACTCGTGTCTCATCGCTTTACCATAAAATACAATCACTTAAAGCTTTTTAATGCCTTTTAACTTAATTATATTGAAACAGGACACCAAGATATGGTTGAGGCTGTTGGCCGCAGCAACCTGGTTAACATACTGAATATTGCGCCGGTAGCGCCCGCTACCACTCAGGAAGGTACGTGCTCTCACTCCTCATACTTTACTTACAGTAAGAGCATAACATATATCATGTTAAATACCACCTTTTTTTAATTTGAAATATTTTTAGAGGAAAAAGTCGACCTTCGACGCATTTCCATGGCGGTGGACTACGCCGACGTTGGGACGTCCACCTATTAAGACGAGCGGTCACTCAGGTCACAATTGACAAAGGTAAAGTCTGTGCGTTTTGGGTGCGTGCGTGCATGCTTGTGTATCGTCACACACAAGAAAGAATTGTTCAATATTATATATACCATATTATTAGAATTACCTGCAATGTAACATATATGATATAATCTATCCTGTTGTTCCCAGGTGCCAAGGGATCCCGATGTATTTGGGGAAACGAAGGCCTTTGGCCTTTTTGGTGGGCTGAGGGTGTGCCGTTTGTGGTGCCCTCAGCAACACACACGGACGATGGTATGCTTATCACTAACACACACGGACGATGGTATGCTTATCACCAACACATACGGACGATGGTATGCTTATCACCAACACACACGGGCGATGGTATGCTTATCACCAACACACACGGACGATGGTATGCTTATCACCAACACACACGGGCGATGGTATGCTTATCACACAAATCTCCCAATCTCAAACTTTTACTCAGGAATGGAAATTATGTAAAGTCCACTTCTTTCCCAGAATGAAAATCGATGTTAATTAAGGTCATGTACTAATAATCTCAACTACATGACCTTTTAATGGATAATAACTTCTGCATAACAGTCACCTAATCACGTACCCATAAGTAGCACTGGTACGTCCTTACCAGCAACAGACAGTTGTCTCCATGTCCTTCCAACGCACACCACATGCCTCGCAAAGAATCAATAAGTACTTTTTTCCAACCTTTTCTTTAAGAATTCATATGGAAATAAATATAGCAATGAGCAATGATATAATTAGTTAATGTTCTTCACAACACGGTCCTCGCTGTAGTCCACACACAGTATATAGTGCTACTGAGAAACATGTTATTGCTTTCATGTGGCTGCTTCGTGTAGAAGTCGTCAATAAGGGGCAATAACACGATTGTTGAAGAAGGGGGGTTCAATGCAACCTGTATCATATGTATTATTTATTCAAAAAATAATAAAAGTGTATTTGTAATTATATTGTGTCATTCTAAAAGTTTTTTTCAGTGATTAAGTTGTAAATAATATTCATGCTCATGCATATTGGTTACACTTTACAATTATAGAAACAAATAAGGTGTTAATAATCACAATAATCTTCGATCTCAGCTGGCACAAAACATCAGCTGCAGACGGCAGCCAACCTGAGACATATCATGTGCAGCTGGAAACGCCACGTGATATCGGTAATATACATGATATATTATATTCTTTTTCTGAAAACCATAAATTAAAGTATATTTTAAATGATCTCTCTAGCCGAGTTATAGTTCAGGAGGCTGTCTTAAGGGTTCTCCCTCACGGGCCTTGACCAGAAATGGGCTTAACACATTGTGCCCATATGGGGAATCGAACCCCGCTCTTCGGCGTGACTAGCCAACGCTTTAACCACTAGGCTACCCCACCGCCCAATTCAATAGAACATGTCATGTCATATATTGAATAGCTGGTATCTACTCATCAGAGTTGCCAATTTCTACAATTATGTTTCTTATTTTATAGTTTATACACTAACTTCGTTATGTAATGAATCAATAATTTTTGAATGATATAAAGTTAATTGTAATAAGTTCAACATTTAATTGAAGCGTTATGTTTATGCCTAAGTGCATTTCGGCACACATATTCAAAGTAAATTATCCTCACATTACATATTTTTTTGTCTTATAGCTTTGTGTCTAATGGCTATGTTTATATTTTAGCTTGAACAGATAATCAACAAGAACCTAGTAAGTAAAATCATTCATAACAACAAAGCATTAAAACATATATCAATTTTGCGTCAGAAAGGTAACAGGTCAATAAAACAATCTGCCATGTAATAAACGCCACATACATCCATGTTGCATCTGGAATTCTGCTGATTTCTTTGTATTTGTACCACATGTTAAATGCCTGCTTCAATTACAATGCAACTAATACACACACAGGATCAATGCCATGTGGCCTTCACAAATCTCATTTACCCGTTTACTGCTTGTTGATGAACTTATGGCGCTTATAGGTGTAGTGAGCAAGTTTCCTTATCTAAACAGTGAGATGTTTATGATAAATACACAGTACCAATGGAAAGTGGCGCTTACAGCTGTAGAGTGTCCGTTTTCTGACTTAAGCGCCCCACAGGTACCCTGTTTGCCAAAAGTGAGATGGTTCTGATAAATACACTTCATCAATCACATGTGGTGCTTACAACTGTAGAGTGCCCGTTTTCTGACTTATAAGCGCCACACAGGTACACTGTTTGCCAAAAGTGAGATGGTTCTGATAAATACACTTCATCAATCACATGTGGCGCTTACAACTGTAGAGTGCCCGTTGTCTGACTTATAAGCGCCACACAGGTACCCTGTTTGCCAAAAGTGAGATGGTTCTGATAAATACACTTCACACGTGGCGCTTACAGCTGTAGAGTGCCCGTTTTCTAACTTAAGCGCCATAAACCTATACAGTTGGTAACAGGCGCCCAGAGTAAATATACAAGATCAGTGACCTGTAGTAAGTCCTTCTTGAATTAGTTTCAACTCGTGTCGTATATGAAACTTAACGAATTCCATCTAACATGCTGCCAGGAACCTCTCAATGACACACCGTTGTTTTCCCACTTGTAGCCACCAGCCGAAAATATAAGCCAGCAATCCAAAGAGAAATGCTGCGGCTTGGAGAGCGCCGTGAGAAAGGTAGATTTAGACAGGAACATTTGCTTAAACCTACCCCGTCATAATCCTCCAACCTACTCACATAGAAGGGATGCGTCCCAAAAGGTTAAGACACTTTGTAAATGGCATGTGGCGCTTACAACTGTAGAGTGCCCGTTTTCTGACTTATAAGCGCCACACAGGTACCTTGTTTGCCAAAAGTGAGATGGTTCTGATAAATACACTTCATCAATCCAGGTGGCGCTTACAATTGCAGAGTACCCGTTTTCTGACTTATAAGCGCCACACAGGTACACTGTTTGCCAAAAGTGAGGTGGTTCTAACAGAGAACAAAATTCGAGTAAACGCGTTTTAAGAGTCATATTTTTTAAACCTTAGAGCCATATGAAATAGTCTAGAGTTTAAACAATCATTTGTATTTTATTCGCCTACAGAATGATCCCAGTGGTGCCATCTCTGCAATAGTGGATGGACTCTATTGTATGAAACATTTGGAGGACATCGAAGCGGGAGGCATCTTTAAATTCCGATTTGCGCCAAACTGTGTGCCCAACGCGAGAAGGTATGGTGATAGTAAAGCGAGTTGGTATTCGTATATACTCTAGCATTGTTTCAGCTGAATATAAGGGTTATTTTTTACATAATTAGGTCTGTGCGCAGCATACGGCCTACAATGGCATCCAATCATGCAACATGGTCACACGTGTGAACTGATCTGTATTCACTCTCTAAGGCCATGGTTGCGCCGTAAAGTCGAACATTATCACTATAACTATACTGTTTAGACATGTCTTAGTATTAGGACAAAAATGAATCAAGTCACTATATTTTTCTACAGGCAATTGGTCGAGGTACCCTCTTCAAAGGTAGCATGTTGGGAGGGGAGCTCACTTTGGGAAGTATTCGGAGGATTCCCCGATGTTCTTGTGCTGGCCACTTTCGCACATGGCTTTGTGCACAAGGAGCATTACGCTCAACAGGTGAGTATTTACCAAAAGCCAAAAGTCCTTTGTAAATGAGACATTCTAAATATCAACAGCTCACTTTTTGCGTAATATTGATACCATTCGCCGCTCTGTAATTCGTGCTTTTTATGTCGTTAGTTGAACTTATTCACGAATAAGCACAAGATGTAAATTTTGCCTAAGCACATGTTATGGCCGAAATATTTGTACACACATCGACGTACATGTCCAATATATTATCAGCTCATCAAGTTGGGCGAAACAGCCGAATCGTTAGGCGAGCGTTTCGGCATCCGTGTCTCCACTGAACAGTCAGTGGAGGATGTGGTAGCAGCAGCAACGGAAAGGATCCTAGCTGGTCCCAGCATGCCCAGTGAGTATTTAAACAATTATGTTTAGTTTTCCATTATGTTGATGACATCTGTGTATATATTTTCTAGGACTCACTGGTACCTACTTGCAGTGGCACCAGAGAATGCATGGGTTGCTACAAGTAGTACCAATGCCATCTGTGTATATATTTTCTAGGACTCACTGGTACCTACTTGCGATGGCACCATAGAATGCATGGGTTACTACAAGTAGTACCAATGTCATCTGTGTATATATTTTCTAGGACTCACTGGTACCTACTTGCTGTGGCACCAGAGAATGCATGGGTTACTACAAGTAGTACCAATGCCATCTGTGTATATATTTTCTAGGACTCACTGGTACCTACTTGCAGTGGCACCAGAGAATGCATGGGTTACTACAAGTAGTACCAATGCCATCTGTGTATATATTTTCCAAGACTCACTGGTACCTACTTGCAGTGGCACCAGAGAATGCATGGGTTACTACAAGTAGTACCAATGTTGATAACTAATGCATATACAGTAAACTTTATATTGCTGTTCAATTAATCTTTTCAATAAATATCCCATGTTGTTGTTATATATGAATGATTTACTGAAGTTGACTCAATTTCATAAGCGTATTATTATAAAATATTAGGAGCTATTCGTAACTTTGTTTCCTTTCTTCTGTGTATCTGTAATGAACAATGGTTAGGGTGACTTTGCAGTGTACGGACCTATTTGAAAGCGTTCCACGTTTTATGAACTTTCCCCGTCTTGGTGTTCGATTACTTCGAAGCGGGGCGTTAAAAAGCTTAAACAACCACTCACTGAACTAACTTCTGCAATCCAGACATCAGAACCATCATGCTCATTGCTGGGGCACTAAAGAGGGAGGTGGTCGTGCACCTGGAGGATAGAAAAATTTCACCACCACCGTGCACATGTTTGGAATACTTTGAAGGCGAGGAGGTGCATGTGTACGTAGGCGGAAGGGCCTACTATCTGACGACAAAAACTGGTGATGGTATAGAAACAAAACTGTAGTCTTGGAAATTTAAATACTTGCAATGTTTGTTTGCTTGATATTTAATGCCGCACTGAGCAATATGTCAGATTTAAGATGGTGGTATGTAAATAATCGAGTCTGGACCAGACAATCATCACTGTTTATGCTACTCGCCTATTAGAATTATGGATTCATAATTGTGTTGCAGGAAGATCCTTTCAGCAGATAACGTTGTTGAAATTGAAAGGGTTTTGTAACTTTTAGTTAAGGTATATGCAGCAATATATGAAACAAGAGATTCCAGCTGTAGTCACCTGTATACCTTACTCACTGTACTACAATGGCGTCTCTTGTTGCAGAAAAGACCCACATCATGAAGGAGGCGAACGGGTATGTACTAGGTAGTTATTAACATGTCAATCAAGAGTCATAATGACTAGATGTAACTAAACATACAAAAGTAGGGAGAAATTTCCATGATTAGTTTATTCCGTGACCAGTTTATAACCAGCATGATAACCTGTACTTTATTCCTGCTGCAGATTTGAAACAGAAGATCCTGACAGAAGGTGGGCAAATTTCGAAAACACATAAACTGCCACTGCATACGGCCTGACCTAATTCATATAATGCTTAACAGACAAATAAGGCTTTTCGTAACAGCAACAGAACTCAGAGCTGTTATGGCTAATGAATGGCTTGACGACCATGTCGTCGACACCTGTCTTTGGTAACTATCTGCTTTGTTAAAAGAGAAAATATATTGGAAATATACCAGCGGAAAGATTAACTTTCAGTACAAGTTAGCAAACACTTACAAAACATAAGAGATCCCTTTACTCAAAACCGACCAAAACATTGCATATCAGTGTGCAATTCTATTCCAAAGTTCACTTAGGTATCGTTCTGGTGTATAAAGTCTTGGAGGTTGTCATTTATGAAAATAAAATTTAAAACAAACGTTGTTCGACCTTTTCAACTCTTTGAATAGTTCATCTTTGATAAAAGCAAAACATTACAAGCTCTTCAGAAAGATCAACAATTTATCAATATTTTATTGTACATTTAGCATCTTCAAAGACGAAAATTTCTTTTCTTCTCTTCCTAGGAAATTGAAGAAAATGACATGCTTCCTGGGGAACATGATTGTTCCCATATGCACAGGGTAATCATATGTACCGTATTATTTGTCTTTCATATTCAATTACTGGGAGTGAAAATTACCTAAACAATAATATGTTATTATCACTACCTGTGTTCAGGAATTACTACAGTTAGTACCATTGGCAACTGTGGATCGTTTTTCTAGGACTCACTGGTACCTACTTGCAGTTGCACCAGAGAATGCATGGGTTACTACAAGTAGTAACAATGCCATCTGTGTATCTATTTTCTAGGACTCACTGGTACCTTCTTGCAGTGGGACCAGAGCATGCCTGGGTTCTCTGTTCCATGGGAGGGCGGTACCGGGTGCTAGAGAGGAACATAAAACGGTAACACTCTGAAACATGTAATCTCTGTTTAATATTTAGCTTCACTTAATGTGTGACAATACATTTATTTAGATGTTATTAAGATTACCAAGATTAAACATATTATATATCTATAGCATGTCAGCACTATTCCAGCTATGCAGTTGTGATCAAGTGTTGGTCAGCATGCAAAACCACTAAAACCATGTGCAATAATCCATGTCATCTTTTTGGTTACATGCAACTGGCCAAGCACCTGACCAATCGATTCTCCACAGTGGTTGGGTACTTACACCAACAGATAAAGGAAGTAAATGTTAAAGACATTAATGCTCTCATTTCCACATTCATTTCATACACATGAGTATATAAACAATATCAGGAAAATATTTTTTATGAACCTATCAAAAGAATGAAGATATCATAATTTCATTGCAGACTACTAGGAAAGACATGTATCTACCCTAAGGTAAAGTCGAAGCTTCAATTCAATGTATTCATCAATTTTACACAAGCATATATATACACACCCGTGCATTAATTAAGCACCACATGACATGATGCTGCAGAAATTTTAGGGTGTAGCCATCAATTTGATCAACCTACAGTTAAAGAAGCTTTATCAATTAACAGGTTTACAAATACCACACATGAAATAATTATTACATTCACTTTTCAAAATAAGGTAACTTGTTTTAGGAGGGGAAAACACACGTTTCTGATATAGACAGTTATCCTAATTAAAGTACTACGTTATTTCAATCATGTTTTCGTTTTTAAAATATTATATGCTTGCTCTGTCAAATTATAAATATTATTTTTCGGAAAGTGTGTAGATTTTCATTTCATACAAAATTAACTGGCAAAAATACAGGGTGGTGCTTACTTTATGCACGGATGTATATCATTAATAATCCACAGTTTCAACAACAAATTAGAAAGCAATCACATTTAAGATATTTGATGAAATATATTAATACTTCACTCCTAAAACGTCTTAAAAAAACATGCTGGTGTTCAAATGTAAATTATCATATCAGTAACAATTACAATTTCTAGGTTCCTAAACAGACAAATGGCCGAGACTGTGGCGTGTTCACAGTGATGTATGCTGTGGGTCTACTGAAGGTACACCATCATGTCTGATATTATTAAACAGCAATTTCTCTGAAATAAATCAGTGAGATGAGTCAGTAGTCAAAATAATTTAGTTGGTTTTTTTTAGTCAGTAAAGGACATTTTACGGTAATCTATTTGAGTAAAATGTGACTATTCTTACATTTACGATTTTTTTGGTTTAATTTTATATGTTAAATGCAGAGTACACCCTCATCCAACACAAAACATTTTCTTGTACAAATTAACAAATTACTAATGAAACTGTTTTGTGCCTTTTAAGGAAAGCAATTGGAGCCAAATACAGTGGCCAACACTCGTGTCATCTGACATAGAAGACACGGGGAGACAGCTCATACAACACACATTAATGAAATGGTGCTGTTGAATACAAACGTGAGTATGCCAGAAAAGGAAAACAATTTATACATATATAACATTATGTTTCTTTGTAAAAACATCTCTATTCATAGTCAATCAATATTAAAACCCTAAATGTGTTGGTGTTGCTATACCTGGTAACCTGATGTTTTTTGATATCTGTAATGTCTTACAGACAAAATACATTCAACATGAGCAAACTGAAACAATTGTCAACATGAGTAGAATACATAAAACTGAATAACCACCAGCATATACATATGTACAATACGGTGGGGAAACTCTATGTATGTGCAGCTCAATTCAATTTGCATATTTATAATGCAAGAAACAAAAAGTAGGGGACCAATGAGACATCAACATGAGAGATCAGCTCTTACACAAAATTACTCAACAGCCTCTAGAAACACAATGAAACGTATCTATTTATTTGTGAAGGCACTAGGAGAAACATAAGGTGATATTCTGCATAGGTAAGGTCTGTTGAAGCAAGTGGACTTGAAATTACCAAATACCAAGTGTATTTCTTGCTGACAATCATTATACCAAAAGACATTTTGATAAATGACAACTTAAAGCAATAAATGTTAACCTTACATTTTCAAATTTTGATTTTTTCTCAGATGACCTCATATTTTCTTTAATGTGACCTGGCATTGACATTGCAGTGCACTAAGTAAGTCTTAACAAGTATTTCTTAGATAAGCATGCAGTAAGCATGATAGTAACTTCAGTAGCTTCTGAGAAAACTTGTCCCCATTGCACACACAATGCACGGAGTTGATAAGAATGGAGCAAAGGCCATAACTCTGTTTGGATGTACAGAGGTGATCCTGTTTGAACAATATTTCAAAATGAAGGTTCTTATTTATAGCGTTGAATACACTTTTGATAGAATTTGAAAGAGGGCAGTATACTGTTTTGGTTTATTTTCTTGCATTGCTGCCATTGATACCATGCTTCGAAACCAAACATAAAATTTACAGTGTGACATAAAATGGTCTACATCCATGTATGAAAGCATAATTCTTAATTTATTCAGTGTAGCATTCCGTTGTTCAGCTACTTGAGTATTCAGGGTTCGGTATTTATTGTATTTTGATAGATTGTATCCATCATGACAACCTGCAAACACAAAGTTGGTCAATGAATGACTTCAGAATTTTATTATCATAAGAGGTATGTAGCCAGAGACTTATTATGGTTACCAAACCACAATATGTGAAGTATTGACAATTATGCTACTGTCACAGAACAATGCTGTACATTCAGACAATGATTATGGTTACAGGTATGCTACCACCAAATGGTTATATTACCAAACATATTGCTGATGAAATAAATAAATGATTGACAATACCATGTATGTAAAATACAATGACATACACACAACATTACTGCTTCATAAAAAACTGCTTTTTAAGGGTATTGGTAAACATTTAAAGAATCAAAAGACTAAAACACTACAAAATAACCCTTCATTTGAACTTCTTGTATACTGAAAATTAAAACACTGACAAAGGTACCAGTTCAATACTTGCCTGATGTTTCAAAGATTGTGTATACTGCTTTTAATATTATGATGCATTACTGTCATGATTTACAATAAATCGTAATGAAAACTGACTTAAAAAAAGAATGGTTACCTTTGTGATTTGGCCAGTGGAATCGGTCAACAACAAACCAGCTGTTTTTGAAAAAAACTGGATCTCGGTTCATACAATATGCATGCAGGTTACATGCATTGTCATAGATGACCATCTTGGGAGCTGTGAATATAGATATGCTGTTAATGTTTTGGTCATTATAGGCATTAAGAAGTTGCCTATTTAAGTAATATTTTTTATATGAACTTATCTGTTGTCTACACACAGGTGAGGGCTACACCTCACCTTCTCGAACTGTATACAAGGGTGTGTGTACATATACAAGTTTTATTGTCATAGCTAACAGCAAAGTCATGATTCAATTTTTTTAAGAATTCTGAGAGCAACATTCAAATAAAACATACTCTGATCACAAACATCATTTTCTGCATGATAAAACTAGTGGTTTCAGAGTTTATGTGATGACCAGAAAGTGAAAAGCCATACCAAGGTAAAGAATATATACATGCTGAAAAACAATTGAGTGAACTTTATTTACGCGAGGCTGCAATTATCAATACATGTACAATACAAGCATGCAATGACATGAGCTCTCTAGAAACTGAAAGGAGGATATCAACTCCCCTTTCTTGAACCGTGTACGGAGAAGGTGAAGGGAACATTTGGGGACTCAGTTTCTTGCATCATGCTAAATCCATAGCAGACACCTACAAAAGAAGTTTTTGTAAACAGATTCTAAGCATTCACCCCAGATTATAACCCTGCATGTTAATCCCATAATTGTGTTATTGGTTTATTAGTTATGGACTAGAAAAACATTTGAATGTTTGTCATTCTTATTACCTTGGGTGACCTTGATATTAATAGAATGAAAAACAGTCTTTGGAATGAAATCACCTCACTGAGTATAATGTATTGCAAGTATGATAAAAAGAATTCAAGTTTGTATTGAGTTCTATTGCATAAAACTTTATGATGAACTAGTTGATGAGACATAAGGCCAAACAACATTCACCATGTTGACAGGATAAAGTGAACAAACCTGGGCTCAGTGAAGGATGACTCCCAGGACTTTTCCTGCAGGGTCCCCTTTGGTTCTTGTCATCCAAAACATATGAGCCTCTCCGGTTGCAGACATTCAGTGATGGAAAGTACTGGGTCCTCATGTCTGGATGTGCTTCTGATTCAGAAATCTATGAAAAAATATAAATTACTTTATAAGGTGAAAGGAAAAATCCATTTAGTTATATTCCATGAGAAAATATAATAAAAAGTTTATGTAATTAGTGGGCTACACAAATTCAAAATTTAATGCTAAATGATTCATTAATAAGAAAATCTTGTATCATGGATATGGAAAAGGAATTTCAGGTGCAGATTACTTCGATGTACTCCATAAAGTAACATCTATCAACAAGTAACAACCATTTAACAATTCAAGATGAGGACTGAAAGTGCTGTACATGCCTCTAAATCATGTTCATCAACCTTCATAAACTGACCCACATTTTCTACAAAAGCAAGCAACAGGGGACGAACATAAGCAGGAGTTTCTGAAAAATTAGACAGCAGTGAAAAGAGTGTTGGGACTTTTTCTTCCAAAATGGCCATGTAAGAGATGTTATGTCTAAAATTTGCCCCTTTAGACTAATCCATGAGAATATCCAAAACAATTTCATCTTCAATATGAATTAGAGCCAACAAAGGATAATCCGAGCTCAAGGTACAAATGATAGAACTGAAGATTTTGGGGCACTTTCCATAATGAAAATTTGAACCAATTTCCGAAAACAAAGGCTCCAAAAAGGGGCCATATGTGGTCAGCAGCGTCTGAAGCTCCGCCATTTCCTGTTGAGTGAGGCTGCGGATTGTAAACTGCCTCAACAGCTTTCTACATCTCTGATTCTTGATAAAGACCCTAGAGCTGAAAGTAGTATAAACACAATTTGGACATTAAGCATTTGTCACTAAAGTAAGTGTTCAAAGTTGGGATCAGGATTGTGACATATAAGTAATATGAAACACGTATAGTAGCACCTCAGGTTTGGCTGTAACTATGTGAGAATCAACTTGTGTTTAGCATCCTGACCATGCTTGATGTGCACTTGGTGACAAGAATTGTAGATATATAGTACTCAATACCATTGTTTCTTGTGAGTTTTGTTCTGTCATTGTTTCCACCCATGTGCAGTGATCCCAGCATGACTATATACATATTATAATTCCAGATATAAATGCATATCTATATTAAATCTGTGGATACTTTGTCAACACTAATCATGAAACTGTTGTGTTACTTATCTTCCATACAGATTCTGTGGTTCTTCTTGTGGCATCTTCCAGTCCATGGGGGTGTTTTTGATCCCCAGGGTGACACCATCCATAATGACTACCTCATGTGACTCCCCACAGCAGGGGCACTGGAAGCCCTCCTCATAGGATATATCCAACAGGTCCAAGTATGCATACCATGCATATCGGAATGTTAAAGACAAAGTTAATGTTGTGAATGTATGTGTTGATAATTCATGTTGAAAATATATGAATAATGAAGTTATTGTGTATGTGAGGTCAATCTGCAATGATGTACCTCTCATCATGATCACCTATGATAAACACTATTAACGAAAACGTTCAAGGTAGATCATCATTTCACACCATATTGGCTTTAGGCCTGTGTTAATAAATGTTTCGTACAGACATCGATCAGTTTTGGGAACCGAATCTGAAAATTCAACATGTTAGTCATTGTATTGTGACTTCTGAGATTGTTGATACTGAGTTTATTGACAAAGGAACTTGTTTCCTTTTTACAGTAGGTGTATGAATATCAAAATTGGGCAAAATACATGAATATATGTATGAATAGACATATTGGGTAACCCCTAACATATTGAATGTTGCATGATTTGACTTGCTGTGCAAGCCATGACAGACAAAAATAGTTGTTAAAACATAAACCTTTAGTAGGACAGTTAGTTACTGAATTCCTTATCACCATTTTCAGCATGCTGCCACACCGATGTTTTATAAAAAGAAGACAGCGTTGTTCTGTAAAATAGAGGATTTTAGATAAGTGCTTGTATCCTACATAACTATATCAACAGAATGATATTGTATGTCGGATGTATCAGTAGGTTCGGCCAATATGGAAGCTTGATTACTGGGCTTCCTAGGTTTTCTATTAGATCTGGGAACCATGCTCTCGCTGGGCAAAGGGCGACCAAAAAGTCAGTTGTAGCGCCTGAGTCTGTTTCATCTTGACCAATACTTTTGGCAGTAGTATCGGGCTGGAAAAGCTTAGTCGCTTAGTCCTTCCCACCTACATGCTCAGTGCATCTGTTGCCCAGGCTTGAGGATCTGGAACTGGTGAGACGAACGTCTGTAGTTGTTTGTTGAACTTCGTGGCAAACAGGTCTATGGAAGGGAATCTTATTTCCCTTATGGAGCATCCATTCCGTAGGTGACAGGTGTAGTGGGATTGGAAGACTCCAGTCGTTCCGAACTCTGACATCAACGTCTGGTACCTCTGGAAGCTATTGGGCCGCGGCCTCTTCCTGAGTTTCCCCTGTTGTTTACAACACGATGAAAACACGACTCAAAGTCAATATATTTTAACAAATTTGTACAGATACTACATAATGATTATAGCCAAATCCATACACAGCTTAATTTAAAAGAATAGGCCTTAATAGAAACGATAAATTGCCGTATACGGGACTCCAGTGCTCGCCCAACCATCCGCTTGGGCGAAAAGGGAGAGAGTGACAAGTATGGGCACATCACATGGTACGTTTGCGCGGGAAAGAGGAAGGGTGAGGTGAGGTGAAATTGGGTTTTACGTCGTGCTTGAGAATGTTTCGCTCATATGACAACGTGCATGCGTATGTATGTGTATGTGCGGCTGCTTGTACTAGCCCAGACTTAAGCTGGTTTTATAGTGCTAGCCCACTGAGATACCATGCCGCAGTGAAGCATGACTACCCCACTCAGACACATTATACTGACTCCGAGCCGACCAGTCCTTGTTGTACCCATTAATGCTGAGCGCCAGGCAGGGACCAACAAGTACCATATTTTAATGTCTTTGGTATGATGCGGTCGGGGATCGAACCCGCGACCTTCCGTCAGCTCGGTGAGGGCGCTCTAACCACTACACCACGGAGGCGGTCGGAAAGAGGAAGGGAGGTAACTCGTGGGTGAGTATTGATACGTCCGCTTCGGGAACTTCAAGGGATTCAAGTGTTCCACTACCAATCGAAAGGGAAAGGGAGATAAGCAAAAGATCAGGAGTTAGGATAAGGAAAAATTTGTATATTTATAGCATATGCTGTAGATGATGGCAGGGCAATTACTGCTGCTTTTGAGATATGATTTATGCAACATTTTTTGTGTGAGTTTAACATGTTAACACTCCAGTTTCATCTGAGATTAAATAATGATTGCGGAACTTTAAATGCCCTATGAAATGTAAAATTTCACATATTATCCATCTGTGAGGAACTGTTTGGAATACTGTCGAAAGACTTGGTGTGAAACCATATAGGTTCCCAGGTTGAGAACATGCTGATCCCCACCATCAAATTCTTTTGTTCTTTGGCAGTTGCTGCACTGTCTTTCAAAAACTTAACAAATTGGAAAAGAAACATGTTTTCTTATTATACTAATAACATGAATAGCGGTGTCCTCTTACTTAGCCAGATTCTGTCAAAACAGGTCTCTCACATAGCCAGAGTGGGATTTGGCTGTAAGTTTCAACAAATTGCTCACTTAGTGAGATTAGTGAAATTTGTAATTAATGTGAGATACTTGTACACTGACATGGTATTATTTGAAGGATTATTTTGAGGATTTGAGGTAATGCTCAATTGGTGACATTAGTGACATCTGTATTTAAGTGAGATACATTGATATGGTATTATTTGAATTCTTTTGGAGGATTTCAGGAAATACTCAATTAGTGATATTAGTGAAATGATTTTAACTAGTCCAAGATTATTTATGCAAAAATATTTATTATTCCGAGCACAAAGATTTAGGCCTCTGGTTTCAAAAAGACGCAAATTGGACTGCACAGATAAATTCAGTACTCTATCAAGTTTCACCAATCATTATCTTTTTATATGTAACAACTATGATCCTATAAAAAAACGGATAAAGGATATAGCATAAATGACGCTCCATATGGTAACCTAGAAGTACCTAGATCTAAACATCATATTATTATAAAATCAGTACATAACTTTATTATCACTTTAAGAATATTTAATCAATCTTAAATTTTCATCTAGCCCTTTGCAGAACTAAAAGTATTTCTGCTGTATGGATGCTATATTGTATGCTTAATATTGTTTATGATATCATGTACTTTTGTAATAATGTTATGAAATACAACTACAAGTCCATAAATGTTATTTTGTCTGGGCAGGCATTATTATAAGCTTTTTGCTTGTTTGCCGATACAGTGTGGGAACAATATATCAGAAATAGATATGTTTAAATCAAATTTTCATGTTACAAAAAACGCCAGAGACTTGCATACATCTTAAATAATGTTGCATTGTAGATATCGACTATAGCCCATGAACAAAGGCTCATGCTTCAGTGGTTAATTCTTATTACCTGGCTCGCATCTCTCAGTCTCACATAGCCATAGTTCTATGTTGTCTTAACAAGACCTTTTTGGTTAGACTCTGGCTGAGTGAGAGTGAACCTGAATAGCACTTAGACCTTTAAAGCAAGTAAAATGTAAGAAGTAACAAAAGCCCTATCGTTGGTCTAGTTGTTTAACTAGTAACCAAATGTTGATATACTGGTAGGACAAGTGAAAGAACAATTTGAAATTTTGCATGAATTTGTTAATATGCAAAAATAAACATTGATCAGACAAATGACCAAGTGTAATGTTCTTCTTTTCAATAACATGAAATTTAAACCACTTACATGAAGCTCAGGTTTTTTTCTCAATTTAGACATATTGATGTTTTTGTAAACTGGAATTAAAAGGAAACATCTGCATACCTCTAACACTGGATGAAGTGGTTGCGGTGAACATCATTGAGTCCAGGCCATCTGTTAATTCACCCCAAGGAGATCCACAAACACAGATGCCTGATGTGTCTGGGGCAAAACTGTTTTCATATTTTCCTTGAAAACTAGACATGCTGAAATCTTTTTTTTTTTTTGATATTGGATAAGGGACATATCGTGCCCTGAAAGATGGTTTTGATGACAACAGCTCTTTCAGTACCTCAGCTAATGAGTGCCCAGAACACTTGATGGCATCTGTATGTGGGCATGGTGCCTTTTTGCATACAGAACATGCTAATGAGTGCCCACCTTGAAAGTTTAAGCTGACAATGGCATATGACTCGTTGGATGAGTTACCGGTAGATATGTGGACACACACAGCATGTTCTGTTGACAAAAGGGGATATAACTCCACCTATAGGATAAGAAAACAGGCCTGAGACATGCGAAACATTTATAGGCATTTAGGCACACAATGCATGATGTCCTAAAAAAACATAGTATGCGAAAGTTAACAGCTTGAGATTACAATAGTAAGATAAAAACATTGATAAACAGTATTTGTGATTTGAAAAAATGACTATATAGTATTATGATATATAGTATTATGATATAAATAATCTACTTGTGTACATATGGGTACAAAATGATTGAATTTCTAAACAAACTATACCATAATTATCTTGTTTTCTTTAAATTCAAGTAAACATTTAAACATTTACATGTAATTGTAAACCTGAGCCAAAAACATTTGTCATGAACTTACATGATCATTGGACTTGCAATATTGGTGATCCGACACATCTAGATTAAAAGAGTAAATATTGTATGAAATACAACAGTAGTTTGCCAAGATTCATAAAATTACATGTGCACTTACACTATAAAGTACATGTAAGTTGTTTAGGCTGTACAATATATTCCAACTGGAACAAAACACCAAACAGGAAACGGAATGAAAAAATCAATAACCAAAATATTCCATGTGAATCTCTTAAACACTCATTGAAATGTAATCAATGAATGATACAGCAAGCATGCACATGGCATAATGGTGCTTTCTCAATACCAGTATAGTGTATTATACATAACATTATAGCTAAAATACATGGAATGATCATGAAACGGCTCTCCCATTATCAGAAATTTGCGGTCCGCTGCAAATGATATTGGACCGCTATCAGTTCTGTTGTCAAGTGACGTCATGGTTCGACAGTAATTGTCTTTCGACTGGCAGACATTCTGGGTCAAACAAGTCAAAGCAACCCAAATTCCCGCTTTAAATAGCGGTAATGGCTTTCTTGTTGGTGCTAACCTTAACAAATGCACTATTAAGACTGTTGATGGACTAAAACTGAACACTGTCATAGTTTGACATGTTGTAGGCTATGGTCTTGTCAACGGCTTAGGTCGAATATCATCACTTTCTGTTGTGACGTCACTTGAATTGTTCGATGACGTAAATGCATTCGGGCAGTCAACCCCGTCAGAAGTTGATTTGGGTAAACTTATTCAAATTCCTTCATTGTTTCCTTTTTCTTTTCAACACAAATTCCATGTATTTTAGCAAATATAAGGGTAATGCTATTTTTGAGGGCATTATCATTTGCAGAAGCCCTCGATCTTTCTCAACAGCACTCCTTCGTCGGGCAGTTAATGGAAGACCTCGGTCTTCTGCAAATGATAATGCCCTCAAAAATAGCATTACCCTTATATTATAGTAAAGCCTGATGAATACCTTAAGCAATTTAACTAAATTTTTTAGCAGAAAAATAAAATTGGGGGGTTCAAATACCATTGACAGAATGGGAATTGTAGTCATCGGTCGTGATGGTGCTCCTTAACAGCTCTCTGCATGCCTTGATATGAAGACATTCGACATGATTGGCATGCTGATCTAAATCTGCAATAACAATCAGAGGGAAGCTAAAAACGTTATTTCCTAGAAACATATGTTTACTGTATCATGCAAATACCAAAGCAAACATCTACAATGGAATGCTAAAGGTAACAAGAAATAGTAAGCCTGTAATTGTAGAACATTTACTTTGTTTCACTACTTCAGACATAATATGAGGTGGATGCAAGTAACAACAATAATGATTTGGTGTCTTGTATTAAACTGATATTTAAGTACATATTAATACATATGAAAGTTATAAAGGACCCATAGATTTTTACATTTCACAAACTAACATAACAAACCTTTGATTTCTTGGACTGAGCCATTATACGGTTGTTCAATGGCAAACACCAGTGTCTCCCTTGCCCTTTCACACTGGCAAGCATAGACCCAGGTATTTCCATCACAACACGTAATGTGCCGTCTCCGAACAATGTAATAGACATCCTAAATACAAAAAAAATATGTAAAAGTTTAGTGAGACATGAAGAAAATATTCAGTAAACATTTTATTGTAATGTACAATAAATTTGGAAAAAATCTTATTTCTGAGCTTTTGCAATGTTGGGTGGACAGTGAGCCATGAAACAAAAACCATTTGACAATGGTGAGATGTAATATTATAAAACTGAACAACCTTCAATTTGTTACATGTCTGGTCAAAGTCTTGCAGGGCAAATGCAGTGTGATGGGGGCTGCATGGAGACAGGCCTTTACCCTGTATCAGCAGGTGCTCATACTGCCTTAGTGGTGTGAGTGTATACTGAAAGGCAAATCAAATAGACAAGAGTCATAAGAAGATGACATATACCCCCAGTATGATGGAATTCGGACATGGAAAATATGTAAATAGCAAAGGATATCACTTCAGGGTGAGTTTGATATATATATGAAGTTTAGTGGAAAAATATTTAACGGTTTTCAAGTTATGCTCCGGAAACAAAATGATTACGTACAGGCGGGACGGACTGAGACATGAGGTGTTGACTATATACCCTGGCATAAAAGCATAAAAATGGGCAGATAAATTCAACTTTCTATAACATTTTCTGACGGACCCTTCGGGGTTGGGGAAAATGACTTTCAGCATTTTAGACAGGTTGACCTGTGTTGACCAAGGTCTGACCCACGTTAACACTGGTTAGCTGATGGTAACCATTTACATGATACTTTGATTGCCCTTGGTTGCCCATGTAACTGATGAACACTTGGGGTGTGGTACCCTGGTTAGCAGCCTCCATGTGACATCCAGTAAAGAGAATTAGTTTCAATTTTAAATTCAATTATGAATAAAAGGATTGTGTTATGTAAATGTTGGTTGCAGAACAGTGTACAACAAGGACGGGTGGGCTTGGAGTGAATATAATGTGTCTGAGTTGGGTATTCATGTTAGCTGTGGCATGGCAAGTCTGGGGTAGTACAAACAGTCATGCATACATACACACACATGCACATTGTCATATGATCGAAATATTCATAATTACAACTCTAAACCTCATTTTATTTCACCTGATAATTCATGGAATGATCTTCCCCAAACTTTTATTGATGTTTTTGACATTTAGTTCATCTCTGCAAAAATTTAGTAAATGGGATTAGGAGTAAGTTTAAGAAAGACTTGGTTTAGTAGACATTTAGAAAGTGATACTTCCTGGAGACATAGTTAAAAGTTTCGAAGGGAATGACAGGTAAAGGGAACAATGAAATAATGGTTAGGCTATGCTGATATATTGCAGGCACATAAAATGTGAAATAGATAATAAATGTAGTTGAAATGCTTTTGTGTACAAATATTATTTAAAATAATTAGTAAGGAGGCGTGACAACCAATTACACATTCATGGAAAACACCCCATGACATTTAATCATTTTCACTTATCTGATAAATTTGTAAGAAATTCTTGCACAATAAAATTTAGCTACTACCTAATTGTTAATTAAAATAGATGGGATAATATAGTTCATATGAATACACATGGTATAACAATTGGCAAATAAGAACATTTCTGTTTTCAGAAAATGACATTCAGACATAATAGATGCTGCTTATATTCTACACAGCAATGTTCAACTAGAAGAGATAATGACTTCTAATTTGTTTATGCTATTGGTAATAAATATACTGATGGAACCATACAAGCATCCCTTTATATATTGTGGCATTTTCACCCACAAAGCATGCAAAGAACTTGAAAAAGGATATGAGGGCACTTGTACTTTCATAGGTTCCCTTATTTGTTTCCATAAGTATATATGTTATTCAACACAGATACATGACCAGAAATGATTTTGGTCAGCAAACACTATTCTAATGCAACAAATCACAAATTGACAATCACGTCATTGACTATTTGTATACGATTTGTTATTGAAAATATAATATTACCACACAAGGGGACATCACCTGCAAAAAAGTACGAAGAAACCACAAAGCATCGTATTCTTTGGTATATAAATAGACCTTATAACATACAGCCACAAGGAAGTTCAGTTAGGTTTTGAAATGTACAGGATCAAAAGAAACGCATACTACATTGCACACTGATCATGTGAAAATATATGAATTGCTGAAGGGGTGAGTTTGGTTTAATGAGTTTTATAAATGTTATTATGTAATACAAAACAATATACAAAGTGAATTGCCACTAGCCAAGGAATTTAGTTCCTAAAGTATCACATACCAACCTCAGATTCAATGACTGTTTTAGGAGTAGAGAGTTCTTGATCAGACAGACCCGGCTGTTGCTGGTGATGAATTTGCTGATGCTGCGGTTGTTTTGGGCATGTTGACTTTGAAGCCTTCTGTGCACTAGAGGAATTAAAAATAAAAGGAGACACTAATGCTTACACAAAAAAATGGAGCTTGTGAGGTGACATACTGAAACAATAAAGCCTTCATGGCCAATGGGAACAGATTATTTTTCTGGGAAGAATGGAGATATGACACATCAGAATGAAGAATAAGGACGATGCTCACCATACACTAGCTACTGAATAGTGAGAGAGTGAGTGAGTATAGGTTTACGCCGCTTTTGGCAATATTCCACACTGAACTAATGTGGGGAATCGAACCCATGTATTTGGTGTGATGAGCGAATACTTAAACCACTCTGCAACCCCACAGTCAATAGCTACCGAATAAATATGATAGCTGACATGACAACTGTAATAGCTGCTGAATGTATAATAATAATTAATTATGACAATAATGAATATCATATTTACATAGTATCACCCTTCCTTAAATTCCTCCTCTTTCTTGAAGTTTGACTCGGAACGATTATATTGTCAAAGTCCTCGTTCAGCTGGAACCGATTTGGGATTATGGCTACAACAAATAAAAAATAAAAGAATTTATAATGATTAGCCCATGAAACACTGACATATATGATATATGTAATTTTAACATATGATCCCTAATTCTACAAAATATACTGCGTTGTTGACATAATTGGACCCTATAATACTCATATTCGGTAGCTATATTAGGCAAAATATTGAAGAGATGATTGGACCTTATATAACATTGATATGAGGTTTTACTTCTACTCAGCACAATACATGTGTTTCAGTGTTAATTAAACCCAAGCACTTTGACATATGTTCACTATATTATGCAAAATATAGTTTATTCAGCAAATTTACTGCCAAAATGTAGTAACATTCCAGGTTACTGAGTAAGATCTATCAGGTTTGGGAAACCTACCGATCGGTCTATAATAGGCAAAACGGGATATAATAGGCCGTTCCGCCTATTTTGCTATAGGCCGATTAGCCTTTAATTATGATATTCATCAAATAAATTTGAAGTGGTGCATTTACGCATGAGGATATTACCATTCTTCAAGTTTTGATGTGCTAAGGTTTTCATTCAAACCCTTTTTGAGCATTTTCATCACATAATTTCACTGAAAATTAATGACATAGATATTCAGTTTTAGTTGTCAAAATGAAAATCTGTGCAAAATTGTGTTCTTAAATGAAACATCTTTTCCTGAACATTATATAAATTTCCATTTTATCCAAAAACTTATTTTTTTCAAGCTGAGTCGGTCCATAACTATCCATATCCAGGATCTAATAAAACGGGTGCCAGTCAAATCGCCCCAGCTACAAAACGCCCCTGCCAATTGGGTCAAAATGCCCCAGATTTTTGGTCAAATCGCCCCAGGTTTGGTCAAATTGCACAAGGGGGATAGTCAAAATGCCCCAATGTATTTAAAATTGGTTAAATATATGCCACAAATGCATAGTTTTTGTCAACTTCAATATTATATTCTATATATAATATTATATAGTGATATATCTGATACATTTTCTATTAGTAAACTGATAAGACCAAAAGTAATATTCATGTACATAAACAACACTATAATACCAATTATTTGGTAAAGAATTACAAGAGTAAAATGAAAGGTTTGTATAATATGTTTACTGGCTGTAAATAGTTTTTGGTCAACAAATGGCATTATGTAAACTATTTAAACATATTTATTTCCAAAGAAAGGAACCGGATTGGTAAACAAGCATAAGCTTATATGAAGAGTACATGAAAAGAACTAGTGAGCAGAGTCTTCATAGTTATGGCCACAAGAGCAATATGATGTCGGAGATATAAATCTTTCATACTTGTGCGCATAAAGGTCACTACATTCAAGTTGGAGACGAGAATGTATGATTAGACAAAATCTGCTACCGACATTTAAGTCAAAATGACTGTAGATATTAGAATCGTTCAAAATTACATTTTTGAATCTTGATAGGTGATGGTCAATTAGTGAATATGTTTTTATAGCCTGAAATGTTCATACATTCGAGCCTCAAAATTTCCTTTAACTAAACACAGCATTGAATGTCAATAAGTGAACATGTTTGAATAGCCTGTTTTTATCCACACTTTTTGACAAGATTAATTAACAAAAGCTCTAGATTGTTTTGATAAGCATTATGCCATACTTGTTGAGAAAATCTATGCATTTACGACCTCACCTTTTGACAAGCTTAATTAATAATAACAAAAGCTTTTAGATTATTTTGATAAGTATTATACCATACTTGTTGACAAAAACTATGCATTTATGGCCAATAACAACTTTATACAAACATTTCAGTTTATTATTGTAATTCTTTACAAAAGCGTTACTAACATGCAAATAATTGGTATTATAGTGTTGTTTATACATGAATATTACTTTTGCTCTATATGGAAGTTGACAAAAACTATGCATTTATGGCATATATTTAATAATTTCAAATACACTGTGGCATTTTGACTACCCCCTGGGGCAATGTGATCAAACATGGGGCGATTTGACAAAAAAATCTTGGGCATTCTAGCCCAATAATAAACAGTTAAATAAGGGCCAAGCTAAGCAGGTACTAATGGCAAAGTTTTGACATAATTTGATGACTGGTTATATGTAATATCAATGTAATTTACCTGCATGATTCATCTTGAATTATCCAACGGTGGAAGCGGAAGTTCAAATATGAACATGGATTACTCCCTTGTTGTACCGAATGACACCTTAAAAAAGACGACATTAATGTATATTTCGCAATAATATAGTAACACAAATATCAAAAAGCATTTTCACAAGTTTTTCATAATGTGGTTATTAGATAACGGGTTAATGCCAATGTATGTGCGAAATGTGAGATTTGAAATACTTTAATATGACTGGCGCGTAAGTGTGGCGCTTAGCCATATTCCGGGCTGCTTTAATACATGAAACGGTACTGCCATTACACTTGCAATGCAGCGATGGTATTAGCATTATGACGTCATCAAGTTGATGACGTCATACAACTGTGATGTCATCCATCAGGTCTGTAACGTCATAGCTTTGTAAGTCATGTAATTGATGACGTCAAAGCATTGTGATCTCATATAATTGATGATGTCAGGGCAGAGTATAAATTCTACTGATCTCACACAAGCAATAATCTCCAGTGGGACACAGTTTTGGCAGAGATATAGGGTATTTAAATGAGCGAAGGCGAGTTTTTAAACAACGAGTTGTAAGATAAATGGTATTTGACAGACACGAGTTCAGTAATCTGTTTCTTACACACCATTTTATGTATCAAATTAATTTTGATATCGTTTCTTTTGCCCGTTAGTTTAGATAAGATCACATGAAAATTAATTAAACACTCTAAAACGATGATGTTAGCATGTAAATGTAGATGAAAGGACGTGTGTCGTCGCCATTTGCACGCATGAACCCTTGCAAACGTTCGATGTTGTACATTGTTTCAACGAGTGTGTTTTAGTTCTGATTGTCATGAGGGAATTCGTTAACATTTGAATAGCACATAGTAGCTCGGAGCTGGAAGTGGATCTTTATCGAAAGAATCATGTTTATCAGTGAAAAATGTCATCTTCATCAATTCATCAAAGAAACCACGAGGCAAGTCGATCTCACAATGGACAGGCACTGACGTTATCGTGTCAGGTATTTTGGCAAGACATACATGCCACTTGTCGCATCTCTGCAGTAAAGGTATGTTGTACATTTTGAATATTCAAAGGAAACCCCGGCCTTTATCTCTGACTGCAATATTCTCATAATTGTTTACACAGGCATCACTGATTGTTCGAGCCATTATGAATTCATGACTTGAATCAAAAGATTTCATAAAAGGAATTAGAAAATAACTAGATTCGTGTCATATTTATTCTAATTGTGTTTTATTGTATACTAGGCACATAAAGAAACTGTGCATACAAAAAATTAAAATCTTAATTTATCAAAGCTGTGTAGACACATAAGGATTTCAACTCAGGGATTAGTGACATGTATCCAACATGCATGCACGTGCCACGTTCCGTGACGTCAGTGGGTTCGTCCTTGAGACGTGCAATACGTTTTTGAACGTGCATTCCGGGAAAGAGAAACAGAGCAAATGAATGCCACACAATTTGTCACTTTGGAAAGCTCAACCCCTGCCCTTGCGATCGTTCAAAAATTTATACGGCTATTGAAACGCATAGCATGCCAAGGCTCTGCACAACGTCATGAGGCCAACGATGTCTCAACGACAAGTGACTGCACATTTCCACTGCCACCGGAACACCATTTCTGCACTGGTGAGACGCTACCAGAACACAAATGACGTCATCGATCGGCCACGTTCTGAACGTCCACGTGTAACAACGCCAAGACAGGACATATGGATAAGGGTGACCCATCTGCGCCACAGGTTTCAGACTGCAGTGATGACTGCCCGAACCATCCAAGGACTTCGCCGTATCCACCCCAACACAGTTCGACAACATTTACGTCATCATGGGATCAGACCACGACGTCCCGCCATACGGCCTATCCTGACACAATGTCACCGACAAGCTCGCCGAATGTGGTGCCGAAATCATGTCCGCAGACCCTTGTTTTGGTGGAGAAATGTTGTTTTTACAGATGAGTCCAGGTTTAACATTTCCCATAGTGATGGACGTCAACGTGCCTATAGACGCGTGGGAGAACGTTATGCACAGGCCTGTGTCTTGAAGAGGAATCGCTGTGGTGGTGGTTCCGTGATGATTTGGGGTGGAATAACAGCACGCCAAAGAACTCCTTTGGTGATTGTTCAGGGCAACTTAACTGGTGTGGGCTACAGGGATCAGATTCTTCGACCTGTGGCAATTCCTTTTCTTCAACGTCATGGCCCTGGGTTAACATTCCAACAGGACAATGCCCGCCCTCATACGGCAAGGGTTGCTATGGATTTCTTGCAACACCACAACGTTGACTTACTGCCTTGGCCTGCAAATTCACCGGATCTCTCCCCGATAGAGCACGTTTGGGACGAGATGGATCGACGTCTACGCCGTCTTCCTCATCCGCCAGATAACGTCCTTGACCTTGCAACAGAACTAGAGAGACTCTGGCGTGACATCCCACAAGCCTTCCTTGCACGTTTGATAGGCTCTATGCGTCGTCGATGCGCTGCTGTTCTCAATGCCGATGGTGGACATACCCGTTATTGAGCTTGTGACATGTCGTTTGACCCTTCCCGCTTGTGGACTCGTGACGTCATTGTGATTGACTTTTCAATTGAAATTCTCCCGACTTGTTATGGTCTCATGATCCCTCCATTCAAGTTTATATGTACCTTTGACATTGTTATCGTACTTATCAACTGGGATAATATTTTGACAATGCACAGTTTCTTTATGTGGCTAGTATATAAATACCTGTTTATGGCATGAAGGTGTAAATGGCATGAAGGTGTAAATGTGTTTGGCACGACTAGCAAGTTTCTGTTCGATTGGTGTCAGCCCACATGGCCTAAAATTATTCAATTAGGTAGGTAAAGTTCATTAGGCTATGTGGGCATTCATGCCTCACTGGTTTTATGGGATTAGTGTGGATAAGTGGGGTTTTTTCAGATGTGAATTTTAGGCCAGGTGGGCTGTAACCGTTCAATTGAAGCACGAGTAACCTCATTCTTTTCCCACAGAGTAACCTATCTGTGAAGTTTAATCAGGAAAGTAGTCCGTCATAATCTGCAAGACCCGAGGTCATCACCACGGAGTAGCCAATCACGGGCTTAGAAATCGATCTCACACACATGTCCGTAGATACCAGGGAAGAGAATTTCTCACCTGGGTTTGTCACCCCGTCATAATCTGACCCGAGTGTGAAACCAAGTAGAAAGCAAAAATCGATGCAACACTCGGGTCACTGGTATTTGACATGTCATTGATAATACAAACAACGAAACGTACCTGGAATCAAGCAAAGATTCATACAAAGCAATGTATTATTGTTTTGCTTCTCTTTATTTCATTTTTGTACTTCATAACATAATTGTAGATAGTTCTTCGTAGAAATAAATATTTAACAAAAACTGTAACCCGTAGATACAGGTAAACAAACGTATAGAACATGCTTATAACTGCAATACAGCATAAATGTGGGTGAATCACATACACATAATTGTAATTAATACAACATAAGAGTACAATTGTAAACGCAAGTCTCCGTATATGTACATGAATTAAATTAGACACGGTGAATTAAAAAATAAATTTACGAGTTTTTGATTGCTAAACCACATAAACATTATCTAGTGTAATCAAGTTCTAAGGTATCCATATATGACTGAAAACATACGTCACGTTTAAAAGACATCTCAGCGCTATGAATGTCTCGACACACTAACTAACATCATTCTCAAGGCCTACCTGTTGCACAAAGCTATCTTAGCGCTAAGACAATCGTGACTCTTTAGCATAAACTTAAGATGGTCTTGTACTTGGATTGATTTGATTCGTGAAGCCAGATCGGGTACACAACGTCAGTTGATAGCTACATGCGTAAAATTTCACGTGACCATCAAATGATGACGTCCGATCAGAAAGCGTTTTTGCGCGATCTCTTGTCTGACCAAAGCTGACCGATATATCTCTTGAAAGCTATAGTGGAAAGGTAGTATCGGAGAAAATAAAACTGGATACAATACCTTCTGTATATTGATGGCAAAGCACTGTAATTCCCAGACACCATATCCAGCCAGCGAACTTTGAATAAATATACATATTTAGATACAATGATTTCTCCCACACAGAGAAAATCCTGTAAGGTCACATCGCCCTGAGGCAAAACTGTCACATATCACGTGGTGGGTCTCAGTCTTTATTCGGCACCGGGGTCCCTGTAGGGTCACGTGTCAGCCTGTATCACCAACCACACATAGCCACTCTCGGGGGTGACGGGGAAAGAGTCCTGTCGGGTCTCATGGAGTTTCCGCCATAGTTGTAGCTCCTCTTCAAGACGCTTGTTCTCAGCAGTTAGTTGGTTCGCTTTCTGCAACGCAAATATTTACTCTTAAAAACCAACGTCTTTGTCCATCATTCTAACCTAGGGTCGATTCCCCACTTGAGTACAATGTTTGAAGCCCATTTCTGGTGTCCCCGCCGTGATATTTCTAAAATATTGCTAAAATCGGCGTAAAACTAAACTGACTCACTCAAGGCTCCTATTGTCACGGATACAAGGAATCGTTTGTAGACTTGACCTTTGTCAAGATGTTCATTACTGGAACCTTTTTTTTATTTGAACAAGTGTGTCACCATAGCGACTGTGATGTTCGTGCTCACCCCATCAGCCACCAGGTGAGTACACACACGTGACTTACTTCCTCCAGCTCTGTTATCTTATCCTTCTTCTTCCTCCGGAACTTGAGAGCGGCGATCCTGTTCACCTCTCGCCTCCTCGCCTGCTTTTGTTTCTCTTCATCCGTCATCTACAACACCAACATCATCATCATCATTACGGCATTCCCACTGCACCACTGCTACATCATCATTCTAGAAGTTTGTGAGTCAATAAAAAAGAAGTTGTTGTCCATCATTATCAACATCTGACTTTATCACTACATTCTCACTACAATATCAGGGGCGGTGGGGTAGCCTAGTGGGTAAAGCGTTGGCTCGTCACGCCGAAGGCCCGGGTTCGATTCCCCACATGGGTAAAATGTGTGAAGCCCATTTCTGGTGTCCCCCGCCATGATATTGCTGGAATATTGCTAAAAGCGGCGTAAAATCAAACTCACTCACTCACTACAATATCAACATAACGGCAACATCAACGACACCGCAACATCTTCAAGGCAACAACATAACAACAGAGGCTACCACCACACACAGACACACACATGCACGCACGCGCGTTATAATGAAGATGATGTACAACATTAATGCTGATATTCTTATGTTTTTCCC